GAGGATAAAAATGAGGAATTTCTCAGCAGAGTGTGGCTGTGCTGGGCTTGCCTCTGTGCTGGAGTGCTCAGTCCTCACAGATGGGTCACTGAGGAAGGACTGGGGGGGTCCCCAGCTGGAAGGAGCAGAGATTCCTGGATCACAGCTTCCCTGGCAGCATCAGGGAGGGATTAGARCTGTGTGGGACCAATTCCAGCAGTGGGGTGAACGATGTTGTGGTCACAGTGCCGGGTGAGACTGTTCAAACTTCCCTTGAATGTGGCAAGACCTTAAAGGGGGTGAATTGGGAAGAATTTAATTTGCAAAATTCTATCTGCTCCTTCCAACTCGTCACCACCCCCATGGACCCATAGGAAATGGTCCCAAAGCAGGTTTATCATTGTCACAATTACATTTATTCTGAGCCCAACCAGGTCAAACCTTACAAACCAAGTACAAGGCAGCTGACTGTGTCTTGTTCTCCTCCCAGATTGAGCCCTTTGCTTCGTGCATCTGTAGAATGACTTCAAAGCATTGTGTATCCCGTTTTCTTCCTCAATTCCTGCTTTTTTCGGTTTGGGCTCTAAAGCAGCAAGAGGAATATTGAAATTCTCATGCCTTCTCTTTATTTATTTAGTGTTACCTTGGCTCTGCTCRGTTGGGGTGCCTCAGCATTAAGATTTTACCAGCCCAGCTCCGCTGTGCCAGACATGGGAGCATTTTCCCTGGGTGCAGGTGGAGAGTAAATCCATAATTCTGTGGTAATTCAAACCCAGAGGCAGTGCTGTGCTCAACTCCAGCTGCTCTTCTCCTCTTGCCTCTGCCCTTGTCCTGCTGCATTGCTTCTGGGCTGCTGTCCTAGACACTGTTTTGGGGAGAATATGTTAGATGAGCTGGAAAACCCGGCTGAATTCCTCGCTGGAGCTGCCTTCCTTCGTGCCTCTCCGGTGTATCTATCTGGTAGCATAAAGGAAAATGTCATTAATTTTTAGCCTAATGCCTGCTGAAGCACTGGGCTCCTTCTCCTGATGGCCAGCAGCAGTCTAGGAGATGCCAGCACAGCTTAGGTGTTGGCCAGGGCTGGGAAGTGCTGATCCTGTCTGGGGGTGCAGTTTGCCTTGCAGGTGCTGCAAACCAGCTGCTGGTTCAACCCCGAGACCCAGCCTACAGGTTTTTTTCTGTTTTTTTCCTGTTTCCTTTATCCCATTCCAAGGCAATGCCTTTTCTCCCTCTTCAGTAATAATTMTGATCTTGGATGAAGGGGTCTTTCTGTGCCAGCCCAGCATCCCCTCCGGGATATGTAGGGGCAGAGCCAGCAGTGGGGACACCCCAGTGCTCCACAGGTGAGGGGGAAAAGAGAGGATTTGGATGGAGGGATGGCAGCTGGAGTGTGCCCTCAGTTTGCTGACACCTTTCTAAGCACTCCTTCCAAGCCGGGCTGGCACCCAGTGCTGCTGGCACGGTCCTGGCACAGGGGCTACGCTTGTCCCCGCTGCAGCCATCGCTGTGACCGTGGCGTGCTTCCAGGAGAGTCATCAGCTGYTAAAAATACCGGGGAAATAGCTGATGGTGTGGCTGCTCTGGGTGYGTTAGTGGAATTAGGCAGGAGGCTGAGCCAGCCAGGACTGCGCCCCTGTCCCCAGCAGGACGTGGAGGTCACGGCGCCTTGGCTCTGCTCCACGGCTTCACTGCCCTGCTGCTGGGCTGTCACAGCTGGTTTTTCTCCTCTGCTGTGATTCCAGGCATTGACAGGGAGCTCGGCTCGTCCAGARCTGCTTGTATTCGTTGCTTTTTGTGGTGTCAAATCTTTGGTGGAGGATAAGTAGAGGTTACGGGTGTAACTTCACATCCGAGGGAACAAAGCCTTCCAGCTCTCTCACCCTCGACTGGGAGTGAGTATCTGGTGTTCGGTATCTCCAGTCTAAAGCACAGCCTTAACTTTCTCCTACAGAAAAAACCCCAGAATTCTGGGGTGGGAGATCCAAGAGATGGCTGTGTGTGCTGCCATCTGTCCATCTCACRACCAGAGAACTGGGCTTGCAAATGACTTTGCTGCATTTCTCCTTTCCTGGGTCTTTATTTGYTGCTTGTGATCGTTCAGGGCTTTGCTCTCTTCAGTGTTTTTTCCTGCAAGGTGGTGCAGAGCTGAGGGACACGGCGTTCTGAGGAGGATGAGCAGGCTGGTGTGGATTCTGGTGTGGAGATCCGGGCTTGGGGCTCTCTCTGGGGTGGCTGAGTCAAAACCACTTAAAACAAAGCCTTGGGTGCTCAGGGCACCCTGTGGCAGGGAGAAAGTAAGGTCCAGGCACCTTTTGTGTTAAACAGCTGTTTTACTCTGGCCTCTGGCTGGAGGGCCCTGTGCTCCGTGACCTTTTGTGTGGGTTGCAAATAGGGAGATGCCCTCCTTGGCACAGCACATCCACATCTTTAATCAGCAGCTTCAGTGTCCATAACCTTGCAAAAAAACCTTGTCACAGCTCTCTGCAATCGCTGCACTCATCCATGCTAAACATATTCAGCCCTGGGAACTGCTGATGGGATGAACCATCTCCATCCCTGCCTGTGGAAAGGGGTTTTTTCCTGGATCCCGCTGGCGGTGTGCTCAGGGTTGCTCTGTGAGCTAGGCCCTCATCATCCCCTTGGATAGATGAGTTCCTCTGCCTGGGAATGCTGAGWGCCCTGGCAGAACAAACCAGGTTCAAGGGCTGGTCAAATGCTGCAAATTTCAAATTTGACTGTGTTGRAGCTCTGCTTTTCTGCTCTGGGCTTCTCCCCGCTTTTAACTCCACCGCTGTATTCGCGCCTCACACCCTCTAATTATAGGTGCTGTGTTTCTCAGCTTTCCTTTCTGGGAAGCGTGTCTGCCTGTGTGACTGGAGCTGTGCCTCCTCCGTGCCATTCCCTCTCCTTTCCCCTCCTCTTGCAGCTGCAGCCAAGTGTGGAGTTCACAGAGGGGACAGTGATTCAAGGAGAGATTGGTGTCTTCCATCCTCTGTAACTCCTCTTGCCTCTTTTCTTATTCATGAGTGCGAGGAAACAGGTGCTAAAAGCTTTTTCCCCCCTGTCCTTCTCCTTGTGTGGCATAATCAGACTCTCCTGAGGTKTCTCCTGGTAATGCACCCTCTGCCCCCAAAGCTACTCCTGCATTTCTTGGCATCTCTGCAAGGACTTGTTTTATCTCTTTGTCTTCCCATCTCCCCTTACAGCTGGGAGAAATGAGTGCAGCCATCCTTGTGTTGTTTGCAGGTGAGGTGGGGATTGGAGATTCCCCTACTCACTTTGGATATTGTTTTTTTTTCCCATGGGGTGCTATCTGTGTCTGGAGCCCTGTTTTGATTTTGAAAGCCTAATCCTTCACAGAGTTAGTCCCTGTGAATCTCTGTTTCAGTGGTGTCAGTTCATCCCTTCACTCCAGTTGTGTGCGTGGATCCTACAGGTATCGATCTRCCCAGGTTTATGTGTTATTCCTTAACCTTTCTGCTCCAGAATTACCCAGAAAGCTTCATCAATTCCTTCATCCCCTAACTCTGGCCATTCCTGGTGCATTTTTAACCTGGCAGCTTGTAGATATGCTCTCTGGGAATGTCTACTTTGTGKTAAAGCAAAACCTCATCACAGGTGCTGTCACTGGAGAAAAATGTATTCATTACTATTATTCTTATTATTATTTTTAGGAAAGATGCGATCTCACCTCATGCATAAAATTAGTTTAATGGAACAGTGGGAATGGGAGGGAATATTGGCWTTCCTGGGCTTGTCTGGGGAGTGAGTGAACAATTTCTTTGCTCCCTCTCAGGCCCTGGATGAATGATATGTCATTGGAGCCGCATTTTTAGCTGAGGTGTGTCCGTGAAGACAGCAGGGAACAAAAAAAATAGGTTTTAAAAATTACTCTGAGGAATTTGTGAGCTTTTAAACATAGTCCTGGAGCAGCCAGTGAGGCTGAGAGCTGAGACTGACTTGGGAGGCAGAAATAGGGGTGGAAAATGGGCTTGTGTCTTGTAAATCCTCAGATAAAAGGGTTTACATCCTGTTTGAGTGCATGGGGCAAGGGACACCGTGTCAGTAGGGTTGGGACACCAGGTCTTGTGTGTCCCATGGTCTTTCCACTCCTCTCCTGAGTATTTCTGCCCTTTTAAGGGTAGGTTATTCCTGCCCCATGAATACAGGCAGCAGGCACTGTGTTGGTAGCGCTGTCAAAGTGCACTTGTGCTTGTCTGACCCTCACAAACTTCTCTCACTTCACTCCCTGGGAGTTGGAGAGGAGAGATGAGGATAAAAGTGATAATGTCATCTCAGGGCATCCAGACGCCGGTGATGGCAGCGTGTGCAGGAGCTCTCGTCCCCTCCAGCAGTCCCACATGGCTTTGTCCTTCGGCTTATTTCCCCTCAGAACKCCAGGTTATCTCAGGGAGAATTTTTTTTCACTGAAAAGTGAACTTTAGTGAATATCACCCTCTCTTGTAGAAGCAAAAATTTGTCTGGTAAAAATTTAAAACCAGCAACTCTTCCTTTGTTGGCAGCTGGAGATCTTCCCTGTTTCTTTGGAGGCACATCCAAAAAGCTGAGTCAAAAAGCTGAGCTTGGTGCTGAGCACAGGGCTTGTCACAGCTTCTGGCCCTGGGCTTTAGGTGGGACCAAGCCAAGCCCTGCACCATAAGCTGAGAAAAGGAAGGATGCCTTTCCTGGAGGGAAACTCCCTTCCTGCTGAGTGTCTTTTCAAGCTTGGTGGAATGGGTCTGCTGGAATTAGGAGTTGTTTGAGTGACAAGAATCAAAGGCTGAGTTGTGGGGGTGGGGAAAGGTGTGGGAAGGAGGCAGTTGCAGGCATACTCATTTTATTTCCATCAATAGGTGTGAGCCAAGCCTGGGGTTCTGCCTGTCCCCTGACTCCTTCCTTCCCTGCAGTTCGTATGGGGCATTTGCACTTTCTCCTTCTCCTCCTYTCTTCCCTCTTGGGCTGCAGGAGATGGACACGTTTTAGAATGCAAGGTGAGGGGTTGTTTTTTTTTTTTTTCTCAGCTCATCAAATGCTCCCTGGTGGCACCAGGGCTCCGAGAAAGCCTAAAAGACTCGGTGGCTGTGTGCACTCTCATCCCCTTCGGGTRCCAACCCCCGGCATCCCTCCTCCAACAACTTTGCTCTGTTGTGATGGCTTTCCAACATCTCCTCGCCCTCAGGCTCCTGCAGCTCCCTCAGCACTGCTCACTGCTTCTGACTCCACTCCCTGTCCTCCTTCCAAGYTGTCTTTGGGCCACCTCCACATCTACATTGCAGTGGCAGGGGACAAAATCTCCCTGATGCCTGGAAGTGAAAACACAGCCACGAAGGAACTTCCTGTGCTCTGTATGCGAAAATATCTCCCCTGCTACATGAAAAGAGAACTAAATTGGCTTTTTAACCTGCTTTTCTTTCCTTCCTCCTCCCCTCGGTCTTTGCTGAGATGATAGAAGCATTGATCCAGCTTGCTCTGGTCAGCACGGCCACGTGCTGTGCTGTCAGTGTTCAGGTTGTCTGCAGAGCTCCTCTARGCCAGGATCACAGGCCAGATTAAACTGGGAAAAAAACCTTATTTTTGGTGGGGGGGCATTCTCAAGGTGTACAGGGACTTGTTAGTGACACATGATCTTGAGGCGAGCGGGCTTTGCTGGGAGATTTTATCTCTTTTTATAGCTGGTGCAGGTGGATTTTGCTGTGATAAAAGCTGTGAACACCACACAAGTCAGACTGCTCCTTCCTGGCTTGCAATAATCAGCTTCCAGCTCTGAACCACCCCAAAGYAATAGGGCTTGCTGCAAGAATGGCAGAGGTCAGGCTCTGCTTGTGGGTGATAAGAGATTTTGGGAGTTGGCAAAAGAAGGTGCTGGTAGTGCCCCTCAGGGGGGTAATTTGGAGWTTACMAAYCCCTTASTGCACATCAGACAATCCATCTCCTSCCATCTCTGATTCCTTGCAGACTGTTTTTCTCGCTCCTGCSAAGAAAGTGGACATTGCTTTTTAATACCTTTCAGCATTATCTGCCCGATAAAGTGGTTTCACTTGGCAGGAGCACAGTCTTTTTTGTTATTCATCCTTTAAACTGTTTTTGAGCAGGAAAGCACTTCCCCCAAAAGGTTAAAGAGTTCTTGTCCAAATAGTGACAACGGTGGCTCTTGGAGGTTGTGCATCGATCCCAGAAGGCAAACAAACAGCCCCAGCTTAAATCCTACACCAACTATAAACCTTACGCTTCTTAATTGGGAAATTGATTTTAAATCCAAGCCTCTCGAAAAATCTAATTATTTTTCTTTATAAAAAGAAATCTAAAAAAAAAAATATGGGAAGCCTTTCTCTCTGTCATGCTCCACCAGGCAGAAGAGAGAGAGTAGGAAATAATTCTTGGGGGTAGATCTGCAGGGTGCCCTGGTGATAACCTGGATAATACAATCTGATTTTGGCCTTGAGTCTGTTCCCTTGGATTATCACATTTCTTCAAGGACCAAAAGCTGTGCTGGTGAATCAGACCTGGAGGAGAATGTCTTTTTTAGTGSTAAGCTTTCAGGTGTCTGGGTTTCTTTTTTCCCCAGCCATCAAAAACCAGAGAGAAGGCTTTTATCATGTCGCTGCTTTATAGAGCATAAGTTGTGGGCATCGTGAGGATGCCCAGCTCTCTCCTTCCTTCCTTCTTTTTTCCTTTCCCTTTCCCTTTCCCTTTCCTTTCCTTTCCTTTCCTTTCCTTTCCTTTCCTTTCCTTTCCTTTCCTTTCCTTTCCTTTCCTTTCCTTTCCTTTCCTTTCCTTTCCTTT